TGTTTTTTCCATTGATTAAGCTGCTTCCAGCCAAGAGTGATACCATATATGCCCCATAGCTGCAGAAAAGGCTAACATTGTTATCTTTTTACAAAAAAACAGCTGAACATGAGAGGTTTTTGGACAAAGTGTGTGTTCTTCATTCTTTAGCCACCGGTCCGAGCACCGTTTAAGCACTATCTCATTGGCATAATGCTTTCCCTGACCCTTACCCTAAACCGAACCATAACCTAATTGTAACCCTGACACTAAAACCACATTTTGAGTCTCAAAAATGCTTCAAACTCGTGGGGACGAGGGCTGTTTGTCCCCACAAGTATAGTAAACTACCAATTTTTGGTCCCTATGAAGATGTTAATACCCCCCCGTCCACACACACACACACACTCCTCGTGCATATGGTACGACAACTCTTCTCCATGCCCCTGGTACACTGTGCGGAAACACTTTGGCACACACACACACACACACACACCTCCTCTCTTCTGTCCTTTGCTGCTCTGTCTTCTTTGTTCTTGCCTCTTATTCATGGATCTTTATAATAACTGATGATGCATTCCATTAGTGTTAATGCAATCACGCACACGCAGCAAATATTGAGTGCTTTTAGAGTTCTGCTGTTTTTTCATATACAGGAATATGTTCTTCTAATTGAATGCTTCTTTCTGAAACACTGAAAACAAAGTCATTAGTCACAAATATATCCAGTCGGTGACACTACAAGTATTTTATCATACATTATATGGAAAGTATTGGGCCACACACCTTCATCTTTGACTTCAGGTGTTTTCAGGCCCATAAATTTATTGTACTGCAAGTACTGCGAGTTGTAAACATTCAGTTTGCCACTAAACAGCTCCTGTCAATGTTTTTCTCTCTTCTCATATGTTGATTGACACAAAGACCGGTCTCCCTGGTGCACGTCATTGTTCTTGTCAGGCTGTCAAACAGAATGCCACCAAAAAAAGTCACAGACTTAGAAAAGGAAGTAAAAGAAATGAAAAAGTCATTGTTCTGGATCTAAATTGGATCTAAACTGTGGATATCACCAAACAACAGACACCACTACTAGACAAAAATGGGGCAGATCACAGAGCTACAGAAACCTAAAAGATGGCCCTTTGTAGTGGCAGATCTGGACCAGTACTCCATTAATGACGTTATTATAAGCAGCCTGGAGAACAGACCCAGGTCGTGTGCTAGCAACGTAGCTGCAGAGGAGGGCAGGGATCCTAGTGAAGCTGATATCGATTCACTGGAACAACAAAATATTCTTACTTAGATATTTTCATAGAAAGCAAATAGCCAGTGAAGACACTGAACCCTCTGCCTCGAAGAAATAAAGGTGACGAAACCCCTGATAACAACGAATGTTCCTAAAACTAAACTGGAATAAAACTAAAATGAACCAGTCTGTATATCAGTAAACACCTGCACATATATTGAGAAGGTAAACAAAGTTCATACTGCAGAAACACTCAATAAGGATCACCACGGTCAAGAGTTACGATCAGCAAAGGAATAACTGGATTTGACAAATTTAATCAATGACAGTAAATTCAGAAACATTTACTGAAAGACTAAAACTCCTCACCAGCTGCACAAATTGTAAGTCCATATAAGTTCATGACTGCTGGCCAAAATAGTCTTAATAGAAGGTACCCAGCTAACAGGCCTCCTGCTGAGGTTGTCTTTCCTGTCCCTCCTCCTCGCCAGGATGGCACTCGTTGTGGGTTCCCACATTTGGCCCACACACCTGTCAGCAATCAACTCACCTGTGACTCATGACTCAGTCAGGCATCCACTACCTAAGGTGGTGGCTAATAGAGGTGGGAATCACCATACACCCCATGATACGATATTATGACAATACTTCACTCACGATACTATATACTCACGATATTATTGCATTTATTTTTAATTATTTGTGATATTCTGAGTATTGCAATGCAATATTTTGCGATTTATAACATTTTTTCTACTGCAGATTCTGTCCATAAAGGTAAACTTTATCAATATTAATTTTATCTAATCACAAAGCCTCACACTCAGTTTTATTATGTGCGTACGTATCATGTTCGTAGTATTCCCAGAGTACTTTATTTTCATACGAAACACCTTGCAAATCCAGTATGTCATATCCATCTCATTTGTCCCATCCTTGTTAAAAATGTTCAAAATACGTCCAAACGTTTGATTTAAACGCAGATGGCGTTTTCCTGATTTCTTGCTCTGCCTCCATTTTTGTTTGGTCAACTTTCCCATGTGCTGACCTAACCTCTGCTGACCTCACTTGAGAAAAAGCTCATCCGCACCGCCTGGTGGACTGGAAGTTTTTGTAATAAAATATCGATGTCCCTGTATCGATACATTATTAGCAAACAAAATATCGCGATACTACGCAGTGTCGCTTTTCCCCCCACCCCTAGTTTTTAGTCCATGTCTTGTTTAATCTGGTGTACCCCAGCCTTTCCTCCCTGTTTCCCCTTTCTTAAGATGAGCTTC